TTTTATTTAGTACTTCTAACATATAAGATCTATTTTTCCCCATCAAATTTTTCCCCAGAAATTAACATAATATTATTTGAAGCGTTTTTGGAAAATTTTGACACCGCCATCTTGAAATCGTGTAGTAATGTTGAACCCAGTGATTATCGATCTTGCCATTTTACAATTTGTTGCTCCGCGGAGATTTTTACCTAAAAATACATCAAATACAACATTGATTACCAATTTCGATGGTAAAATCATTTGTAAACGTTATGATAATGGAATGTTAAAGTTTTGGCGTTGTTGATTATGAATCTGACGAAAATTAAAGTAGCTTTGAATGGTTTAAAGTTGATGTATTTTTATTTGAATATATGTTAAGTATCTAAAGTCAAAATATCTTCATCAATCTCATACCCCTTCATGGAAAAGTCACATGTTGAAGCTTATCTAGTGTTTATTTAAAAAAGTAAGTCTCTGTCATTTACGTTATAGAGGGTTGTCGTAGCAAGAGACCTATATTTTCATTCAACATATTATTCTCATGTCTGTTTTTGTTCCTAACAATAAGGATATATTTTGTCTTAATACTAAATCATACATCAGGCATTTTGAAGAGACATAAGTGGAAAGAATTCACATTGAAGTCAACAATTACATGTGACTTATTATTCCTTTTCAGAAACAAAACCTAAGTGCTACATGTCATTCCAATTTTATAGAAAATCAGTCTGTTAACATTAAATTTATCTTTCTTTTCTGATTAGAAATAGTGTTCAGAATCAATTGATAGCCATATCTTGGTGTTTGATATGCCATACAAAATTTATTTGAAATTTGTATATCGTTACACCCTTGGTAACGTATATGATCCAAAAATAGTGACATCGGAGAATGAGTCATATCATATGTGATCATGGTTAAACCATCAACTGGTGCTTCTTTTATCATGTTTACACTGCATTTTAACCATAGTAACATTTAAAACAAACATAGTTCAGTGGACCATCAAGTAACGTAAATGATGGTGAAATTAACTAACTTTTGCAATAGAAACATTAAAGCTAACACAAACATTATTTATGCACAAAACACGTAATGAATTAATATATTGTCACATACGCTATATGTTGGAATGAATATATACAGGATTAAAGGGACTTAGTCTTACTTCACACATTTGTAATGCTAAATCCTTTGTAACGTAAGTGATTACAAAACTTACAATTGCAAGATCAAAACCATACTATATAATTTGTGATTATCGTCAAAAAGTAACAACATTCAGTGTCTCCTCTAATATCATAGGTACATATGAACTCCTGAAAACGTTACTTAATCCTAGCTTGGACATATAGATCCCATAGAACACGAGTTTGAATCTCAGGACACAGATCTAGATTTTTAATAGCCCTTTAAACTTCCCTGTTGGAATTGACTCCTCTACTACACCGGCACTCAAAATCTGAGACTCTCAGCCAAATAACGTAACATTCTAGAGACCATTGGAGATTCTTCTTTTCTTAAAAAATAGTATTTATTATCATCAGTATCTACATGCAGTGCCTTTTCGACATACCAACAGTAATTGTAAACTGCAGTGAAAAAAATCGCCAAGATGTAGCTCTTTATCTCCACTCTCAGTCTCACTGGTGATCCACTCGATTACGCTGGTTACCAAAACGGTTCGTTTTGGTAACAAAATGTCGGAACATCCGGAAGATACGATTTTTCTCGTTTCCTTATTTTACACGTTGTAGGCAGAATTCCCACGACATTTTTTAACACAAACGTGTATCAGTATCCTATGTTTAAAAAAGTGTACATACTTGCGAACAAATAGTTCAGAAGACAACAGAATCGTCGATTTACTTCGTCACTTAAGTTACATAAACGGTTTGGGTTAAAAGTGCAGATCTTAACTGTTTTTCGAAAAACCGTTTATGTAACTTAAGTGAGGAAGTAAATCGACGATTCTGTTGCCCTCTGAGCTATTTTTTCGCAAACATGTATATTTTCTAAAACATATGATACTGATGCACGTTGTGAGAAAAAACGTCGTGGGGATTCTGCCTACAACGCGTGAAATAAGGAAAAAAGAAAAATCGTGCCTTCGACGTTCCGACATTTTGTTACCAAAACGGTTCGTAATTGAGTGGATCACCAGTGAGTCTGCATGATGGCCCTGTCAAAATACTCTTGGATAGCTATGTTGTCTCTTCTTGTATGTCATTCCTGGTTCGTTTCACTTTTGTGCGGGGCGCTTTTAACACTGTTTATTTGCTTCAACAAAATATTCCTTTGCTTGTGGTAAACGTCGAGTACTCATTTCATTTTTGTCCAGCCAAGCAAGGCCCTTAAGCTTGTATCACCTTCCATCGCCTTTAGTCATATTATATCTACTAGAATTGAACACTCTTTCAGACATTTCTCCGCCAGTCATGTTGCGTCTGCTTCACCTCTTCAACTACGTGTTTTCCTCGTACTAATCTTCTCCTCAACTCTAGGGATATCACTATGTTAAAGTTTGCATCGCATCACTTTTCCCCTGCACTCTTTGGTGTTTTTGGCGTGCTTGGACCCTTGGTTCTATTTTTCTCTGCTACTGTAAGATCCTTTGGAATGATTTGTGATTGTTTTTTCCATGTTTATCTATGTCCAGGGAGCTTTGTTTTCTTATGGGTACGTACGTCCCCAAGTTCTACTTATCCGTTTTCTAAAGAGCCATGCACGTCCTCTTGTAAAATTCCAGGCAAAATTTATATGAACTATTAATTGTGTGTTACTTGTACCACTGCCATAAACACGGTAACAATCATTGTTATCGGCATTACTTGGGTCATTGCTAACAGTCTCTCTTCTTTTTGATTTGTCTCCTGTATTATTACGCTATCTGAGACTAACATAACATGTCTCGGGCGCAATGACATATTTTTTTTCTTTTATGGTCTTTATCATTTTTCAGATAGTGCACGCAGCTATTGAGACAATGTATTTATGAACCCGAGCACGCTCTTTTTGGTGCTTTTTTCCTTTCACGATAGTCTTTTTGAATTTCAGCAGGATGCTTTCCCATCTACGAAAAGTAGGCTATACAAGTTGATAAATGAACATACCTGTAAAGATTTGACGACAGAAAATGTGTGCAATAGAATTTATCAATTACGTTACCTATGGTAACGTAATTTATGACATAGAAAACGCAAGACTATTGCTTCAATTCAAATTGAATGATAGAAAAGTGTTTTTATATTCATTTTCACATTTATACTGACTGTCTTTATGCCATAGATAACATCAAATTAACACTACATCTTCGTTTTACAAGAGAGATACTATATTAGGTGTGATATTTACCTTAAATTGTGTGGATTTACTCTACAAAGGTGGTAGTGTTTCTTTATTCAGATTCAAATGAATATGAATACTCAAATTTCCCGCTTTATAAACTTTATTCAGAGCTAGGAGTATGGTAACCGTTATTTTCGTACTACTAGGTATCGTAAATGATGGTGTCGTAAATGATGCAAATACCCTTTTGCTGTCTGTATTATATTCAAACAATGTCAATTTAGTTAAAAATACTGATCAACAAGGATCACTCCTACCATACAATAAGGTGATATAACATTAATTTGCTCAGACACTTATTGCCTGTGAAAACTATGATCACGTAACTGATTTTCTTATCTATAACTTCATGAAAAACGGGAATTATAATTTTCTGGCCCCAAAATCTCAACGTTTCAAATATCAACTTTTACGACTTTCTATTAAGTATTCAAATTGGAATCCAGATACGTATATGGCACATATGAAACATTAATTTTTCACCAGTTTTTATATGATTTATAGCACAGGGGGGTTGATATAAAAAAAAGTCTGGCGACATTGGTAAAGGAACAGTTTCAACATGGTAAAAATGTCAAAATGATAGTTTCTGTCATTTAACCAGAAGCTGGGATCGTCTTGTGTATAATAGCCTACACCACTTTATATGGGATGTTATGCATGAAAAATTCTCTAATGGCACCATACAATCCTGATTTTTGATATGGCGACAGTCACGTAACCGAACTCCCGTGCAGTGATATATCACTGCGGCGGGCAGGTATCTCACCGTAAGCATGGTAACATCGTAATAAACAACTGACGTGATTGGTTCTAGTCCCATGCTCAGGTCGCGTGATTGTAAAATTTAAACAATTTCATTGGTTGAATTGCGCGTATTAACTAATAAACAACATGTGCGGTAAACTTTTATCAACACAACTTTTACTCAGAATTCCTTCCGCGGGGATTTCCTCTTATTTCCTCTTGATTTTGGAATATTTTGACAAAATAATTATTGGTGAACACAAAAGAACATATAATTTATAAGTTGTGTGAAAAACAAGTACATCTGTGACAAAAAAGGGGGACTATCTTCCCCAAATTTTGGGGATTCCATAATCTGCCCGCCGCAGTGTCTATACCGAGACACTGCATAGGAGTTCGTCACGTAACTGATGAATAGCCCTATTCTAGTACATATAATAAAATATGTGAAACTGAGAAATCATATATTACAAATGTGCTAGGTAGAGGGTCATATATACTATTTATATATACAACAAAAAGTGATGTTGGTAATGTAAATGCTGAGATTGAGCCCTGGGTCACCTATTTTGCATTCTTATTGAGAATGGGTGAATAAAGAAAATACTAATTTCTGAAGCTTTCTAAGATCGTGCCCCGGGAATTTTAGAACTATTTTAACAACGTCAGAGAGGTAACCTAGTGAAGGTACACAACGAACGAAATGAATTTTGAGAATGGTGTCTTATCGGTAGTGAAGGTACGCAACGAACGAAATGAATTTTGAGAATGCTTAGGTGTATTGAACTTACTGAACATTGTTCACACGAAGCAAATGAAAACCACTTCACTTCCGCCAAAGTTTCAATTTTCGCGCAATTTCTAATTAGGTCAAATTCGAGTCGACCAATCAGAGCCTTCGGTAGAGCGTAAGCCGGTAGCAGACTTTGGAAACGAAATGTTTCTTTAATTTTTCTACACGTTTTGTCGACTCATGCTATAAATTGAAATTTCTGTGAACCAGTAATAGAAAAATAAGTAAGTAGAAGTATTTCTTCGTATAATTAATATGTAATAAGTTACCATTGGGATAAAAATTGACATTTCAATATTTGTTAAGGTTCAGCTGGAAAGTAACATTTTGGTAAAATATTGCTATACCTGCCCATGTTATTTTCTGGTACAAAATTAAGTATGAAGGCATGTGTATATTTCCTTGCTTTTTTCAGGAAAGTATCATTACACTGTCTTCTTTTAGAATATCTGGAAACAGGTCAATAGTAGCTCCTGTGTTGTCTGGAAACTTTGAAAGAAAATTTGGAAAAATAGAAAGTGTGAAATATCAGAATTTCTTGGAGTTCCCATTGAACGCCTACCAGATATTCTAAAAGAAGACAATGTAATGATACTTTCCTGAAAAAAGCAAGGAAATTGACACATGCCTTCATACTTTATTTTGTACCAGAAAATAACATGTGCAGGTATAGCAATTTCTTACCAAAATGTTACTTTCCAGCTGTACCTTAAGCTTAGTAGGTTTGTTATTGGTAAAATTTGAGGACTTCTATAAACAAGAAAATCCAGTGAAAAAATCACTGAAAAACTACAAAGACCCGAAGTTAGGGTATAAGGGGCGGAAAAGATGGAGTGATAGCGAAATGTTGATTTAACTATTAGTAAATGGTTATATTGTCACGGAACATGCAGAAGCATGTAGCGCCACTTGTACTATAGGCTACTGTTATACTGTTCTGGATGGGGTCGGGTTACTTAGGTCCCAAGTAAGGAACTCTATTGTTATTTTTGTAAATGACTTTTTCACCAAAAACAATATGGATAGCGCTTCATGCTCTTTAACGTTATGTTGATGCTGTACTGCATTACCAAGAGGAAGTTTAAATATACGTATAAATTTTAACAAACTTCATTATGTCACCATCTCTACACGGTGACATAAAACAATCATGTAACTTTAGCACATATATCAGTGTATTACATACCCAGCGAAGCATTTGTATTGAAGTCAATGGAGCTGAAGGTCGGCTATATATTCCTGTTTAGCCGTCAAACTTTTTACCATGACAATCTTATGACGTCATCGGGACGTCATGTTTCATTTCTTCCTAATTTCACTCGCACACAGACACGTGGCGTCATTGATATAACGTAGCCATGATATAAAAGTATGTAATACAACAGTTATGTCCGTATCATTGAATATATGCCTTCGGTCTGTCGTAATATAGCCCTCGCAAGCTCGGGCTATATTGGTGACAGACCTCAGGCATATATTCAATGATAGGGACATAACTGCTAAATATTGTGGCGTCTTATAGCCCAAAAATATACATCAAATCTCAAAAAGTCCGATTAAATCCCCAGTAAATGACATCTGGACACTCATTGGCACTCATTAGATCTTGTCGTGATGTCATTTGGACTCTGTGGATTGTTCTAATGTACGCCATCCTTCTTGACCTGTGTTATTACCATGCCCTGGAAATATGAGATAAAACATGTAAAAGCATATCATATATGTGCGGCCTTAAGTCAATACATTTCCTACTTGTGTTTGTACAACATGTACAACATTTATACATTTGAACAGAGACGTATAAAATTCATGTATTTATAAGAATATTTTTTTAAATCCTATATTATTGTATGAGGCAATTGTCAAGCTCATTGCAGTAATAGGCTAGTGTTCAGAAGCCTATTCAATATTTGAACACTAAAATATAGGATTTAAATTGTCACATTATAAACTACAGATGTAACCATAAGATTATTAGAAAGGTTAAGCAACAAAACTTCTTGCGACATAAACCGCGAATGGGAAGGGTCGAAACGCTCTCATTAATTTTTCATAAATAGAAAATAAAACAAAGAGACCACTAGCAAAAAGAAATAAATCAGTTTTAAGTTAAAGACTTACAAATTACGTTTCCTCCGTTTCTAAAGTAGCACTTTTGTTCATAGTTGTTGCCGATTTCACACCTGATTTATAATGTACGTCTTTGTTTACATAACCTTTATAATTGTTTGCATTAATTGTTGTTTCACTTGTTGTTAGTGTTGTTGTCTGAAAAAGAATAAAATGGGGCAGTCTATATTCATTTGAGTTCCGCTTGACCTTCCAGTTTAGAAACGATCATTCGTATGATGGTAATAGCCAGTCTCGTGACATAAGTCCTGCGGGAGGCATCTAAGGTTCATTGTCGAGGCGGATAGGACTAGAAAACTAAATAAATCTAGAAGGGTGGGGGAGGGGGTAAAAGCCATTTCAGTTTTCTATCAGACAAAATTTAACATTTCAATTTTTGTGCAATTTTGACTCGGATCAGAATTCCTTGGAATGGTTTTAAAATAAAGAGTTTACCTAATGTTTTCTGCTTATGTTGTGCCTACTGTCACATGTTTTAATTCTACATAATTTATGTTAATATCCCAATGAAAATCCCAAATCCACGAAAGTCCTAGGCTAAGTCCACACGCGAAAAGTCCGCGATGATCATGTTTTTGGGGAGGGGGTCAAACTCAAAAGTCAAAACTAGATTTATTTAGTTTCCTATCAGACATTGAACTTCTGATGCCTCTCCTTGTGACCAGCATCATAATAGTCATTTACAGAACATTAGAAATAGATCAGATCGTGACTATGTGAAGCATCTGGAAAATTCGTTGGACCATGAGAAACTTAAATTGATTTTACACCACTTCTGGCCCGAATAATGATTCAGTTCAATAAGAAGTTACAATTCTACTCATTTCTATAATCAAGTTGGAGTGAAATGCGATTATAAATACACAAATCAAACTTTAAATTAACAGAAATGTTAGAATACGCTTACCGGTTCAGACAAAATTGAGAGCAATGGCGGACAATGCGTTCTACGTCACATGACGACATTACTTGGAATCACAATCGATCCGTAATCGCGTCGTATGACGACTTGGTAGTTCCCTTAACAATTTGCCATATAAGGTTATAAAGGCGGTCTTTAGGTCACGTGACCGATCCACTGGCGATTGCCCGGAATAAGGTACAAAGAATCCCACTTCGTGGGGGGTCTTTGTAAAAATGCCTTCACTTCAATGTGGAATAGCTATAAAATCATTTTGTGATACCCAGAGTGTAAACTATCAGATACGGGTACACCCAAGTTGTCCAAAACCCAGTTCTCCGAAACCCATTACTCCGAAAAATATAGTCATAATTTACCAGAGAAAGGCGGGACGTACTTAAGCTATAGGCCAGTTCAATGCCATGTGTTTGGCCAAATTAATGGCATGGACACATTCTGATGTTCATAGATCTCTCTCTCTCTCTCTCTCTCTCTCTCTCTCACTTTGAATTGCATCCATTGCATGGCATTACCAGAATGGCAGGAACGGGGGATTTATTTTACATTGAGATTCTAAAAAAGGTTATCAAAACCAGGGCCGTCAGATGGGGGGGGGGGTGCGATGGGTGCAACCGCACCCCCCTTTGTCACCCCCCAAAATAAATTTGAAAAAAAAAATTTTTTGTAATCTTTTTTTCATTGACTCATACACTTTGAAAGTACCCAGAAAGCACCAAATAGCATCTTAAATTGTAAAATTTTCTAGGGGTATTAGCCACCCCTCACACCCCCACAAAACAATGGAAAATTTCTAAATTTATTTTAGAGTTTTGTCTCAGACACTTTTAAAGTGCCCAGATATCATCAAATAGCTCCTTGATATAGTTAGTGTTTCTGGGGCACTAACTCTCCCTCTTGCATCTTGCACTTGCATAACCCCCCCCCCCTCTGGCGCCCCCCCCCTTGACCCCCCCAAAAAAATAAATTGTGATTTTTCTCAAATTCTTTAATTGACTCATAGTGCCCAGAAAGCACCAAATAGCGTCGTAAAATTGTAAAATTTTCTAGGGGGAGTGGGCCACCCCTCACACCCCAAACAAAACAATGGAAAAGTTCTGAATTTGTTTTTATGTATTGTCTCAGACACTTGCCCAGACATCATCAATTAGCTCGTTGATAAAGTTAATGATTCTCGAAGACTAACACTTACTCCTCTGGCATTCCCACTCCACCTCCCCCTCTGGCAGCCCCCCTCCCTTAACACCCCCCCCCCAAAAAAAAAATTGAGATTTTTCAAATTTTTTTATTGACTCAGACCCTTTGAAAGTGCCCAGAAAGCACCAAATAGCATCTTAAAATTGTAAAATTTTCTTGGGAAATAGGCACATTTAGGCACAGACACTTTTAAAGTGCCCAAACTTCATTGAATAGCACCTTGATATTGTAAATTTTGATATGGGGGACAAACACTTGCTCCCCCTCTGGCACCCCAGCCCCACCTCCCCCTCTGGCACCCCTCCCCCCTTTGACACCCCCAAAATTTGAAAAAAATTGTGATTGTTTCTCAATGTTTTTATTGACTAATACACTTTAAAAGTGCTCAGAAGCACCAAATATCATCTTTAAATTGTAAAATTTTCTAGGAGAGTTAGCCACCCCTCACATCCCCCACAAAACAAAAGAAAATATTCTGAATTTCATGTATTGTCTCAGACATTTTTTAAGTGCCCAGACATCATCAAATAGCACCTTGATATGGTCAACGTTTCTGGGGGACAACCCCTTGCTCCCCTACTGGGCTCCACCCCACTTCACCCTCTCATCCTCTTTGACACCCCCAAAAGAATTTGAAAAAAATTCACATTTTTCTTATTGACTCATAACGCACAGGCGTACCAGATGGTTGCAAATTCGCTCCAAATACAACCAAATTTCAAAATTTTCCTGGGGGAGAACCCCAGACCCCCCTGAATGCTCAGTATTTTATTCACTCAACTCTTATTCCCGTGGTGGTGGCGTACTACTTAGAAACTTACACTTTGAAAGTGCCCAGAAAGCACCAAATGGCATCTCAAAACTGTAAAATTTTCTAGGGGGAGTGGACCACTCCTCACCCCCCACAATTATTGTTAATTCCAAACCAATATAGGGAGTAACTGACCCCCCCCCCCCCCCTCTGTCTTACGCGATTTGATTTACGCGGCAAAAAATGACAATTTTATATTCTCTTTATTAAGCTAAAAAAACGCACCCCCCTTGGAGAAAAGTGTCTTACGGGCCTGAAAACACTATATTTATTGCGGAACAGTTTATCTATCTTCTTCAATCTCTTTTATATAGGCAAAATAAAATGAAACATTTCGAATCAGATAAAATAAGTTAATGCATAGAACTTTAAGAATAAAACAGTGTACATAAATACGTTGTCAAAATATTTTGTCGCATTTAATTTCTTAGTCTCTGTCTCTTATCAAATCGTAAAAGAACAAAACATTCGAAACTTAATCACCTGGAAACGAAGATGGGCTGTTCTCGTATCAAAATGGATGTTCTCCCATTCGCATTCATCCTTTTGAATTTAATCTCTATTTCTCGAACGGAGTACGTAAGTGAAGAATAAGTTTTGGTTTCAAAAGATGTACACGTCAGCTTTACTCAATAAATGCCCACTGGCTTGGGAAAGCTATTACCCCTTTTATGAACGCCCACCACCCATTGGAAAAATGTTGTTCCCTCTCGAAAGGACCATGGGCCATAAAGAAAATTGGTTTAAAAATTGTATACCCCTATGTATGTTATGTAAACACCACTTTGCAATGAGAATAACATAATTTTAACTTTGTCTGTTTGAACATCTATATCGCCTGTATATGCCCTTGTACTTTCATCTTTTGACAGTTTTATTAAATACCAGCCCATAAAGGAATCGTTCAGTTGATGAAATTTACTCTCAAATACACCCTTTAACAATGAAAGAGTGCTCGTTCATAGAGCTGTAAGCTGTACTTTTCGGAGAACTGGGTTTCGGAGAATTGGGTTTCGGACAACTGGGTTGACCCCATTAGATACGACAAGTTGACTTGTTCAGGTTTCTGAATTTCATATGTCATAGTCAAAGGAGGATTTGAGTTGGAAAATAGGTGTGACAGGCAAAATTTCTGGCTGCCATCTTGGATAAGAAAATATCACTGCCAGCACCATCTATCTTATATCTAATATTATAGAATGAAGTCCGGTAACTTAGAAAAAAGTAAATTCAAAATAATTTTTTCTCATGCCAGTGGCTTTGATCAGTGATATTCTATATTTATTTAACTTTCATATTTTTGTAACTTGTCAGAGAATTTTTTTTTAACATTTCTTGGCGATCAATAAATAGATTTGAGGTCATATCCACGAGCAGAGTTTTGGCCCAAAAAAGTAAGAAATTTGCGCTTCAAGCTCAATATCTGCAATTTGAAAGCGATTCTGACCATTGTTTTATCAAAATAATAACTGAAGTTAAAAAATAAGGTGAAATATACACCAACACAGTGATAATGATCAAACAAAAATGGGAGTCCAAACCGGAAGTCAAAAGAGTAACCGCACTTTCAGTCTTATATTGAATAATGAAGATTGATAGTGGTGGAAAATATGCAGAAATTATATGCTTAGATTTACCAATTTTGTTTTAGGAGTTCAGGTCATTGGTTTACTTCTATATAAATTGCAATAATGATAATATTAAAGAGATGCAATTCAGGATTATAGTGCTCTTTGCAGATTTAAAATTGAACTAATGGTTGCAAAGTTATTGCAAAAATGAATTTTCATTGTTTTACAAGAGTATCCAGACATCAGGGAGGAAATAAGTCCAAAATATGAGGATTTTTAGAACAAAATGTCTTCACTTCAATCAGGAATATCTATGGATGTCAACTGTAAAATCATTTTGTGACACCCAGAGTGTAAACTATTCGATACAACAACTTGATTTGTTAAGATTTCTTAATTCCATACTCATAATCAAGGTGGCCACCATCTTGGATGAGTAAATATGCGAAAATATGCTTATTTTTACATATTTTGTTGGTTTTTCTGTCATAATATTGCAAAAATTAAAAAAAATGAAGTAAATAAACATAGAATCGTAGGTGACAAAGTGCATCTATTTTGAAAAAATAACACATGACATAGTAAGTTGGCATATAATAGCTGTAATTGCATAATTTTGAGGTTGTCCGGACTGAACCCAGAAGTGACTGAACCCCCTAATGTTAGTCTTAGGTTTAGACACAGTGAGTAGCAATGAACAACGTATAGATGGCGCATTTTCGCAGGAAATTTCTGTGAGTTAAAAATGTTGTCCTCATATTTATAGGTATCTGAATTTCTATCACAGGTCATCATTCTGCGAAGGAAAAACAAGATTAGTGATGCATCAAAATACAAGACTTTGAGAGCCATGTTAGATTTTTAAACTATGGCTCTCCAACGGATCAATGGATAGCTGAATAATATTGACCTTTAAACTAGTGTTGTCGCGATGTGCCATTATCGTACATCGATGCATCGGCAATTTTCAGTAGTAAACATCGATGCACATCGCGATGTACATCGAGAAAAAGTTCGAGAAAAGTGCACTGAAATACCGAACGCTAATGCACTAAAATATCGAACAGAACATATTAATAAGAGTAAGCTGGTACATCCGTGAACATAGTAACGGTGAAATGAAAGTAAAGTAATTTTTTTTAGATTAATGGTTCATTTCGACTAGCTAAAACAGTTTTAAAGCGAAAGAATATCAGAAAACATTTGAAAATGAAATAAGACATGAAAAAAGGTAAGCAATTTGCGTCAAAATAAGATAAGAAAGGGCGATTTTTAGCAAATTAAAATTTTTTAAAAACATTGATGTTTTGTTTCAGACATCGATGCATCGCCAGAACCAGCTTTGGCGATGTATCGATTAATCGCGACAACATTACTTTAAACACGAATTAATGTGATCAGCAGCTTACTTTTGTTCTCTAACTGTGTCCTACATCAGTATCATCCATCCTTGCAAGTAACGGAGCGCTGAAGTACCTCCTTTTCAATCAAGACTTATAATTATTAACGGAGTGAATGTTTTCTCTGCCCAATTCCAATATGGTTTTTTTGCTTGGACATTTTTGTAAATCTCCAGAGGTTGTCCAAACCTACCTCATTCTCAAATTTCATTTCGTTAGTTGCATATCTCACTACCTAACAAACCGCCATATTGGAAATGGGTCGACAAAACATTCACTTGAAAAACAATTTACAAGTCTTGATCAAAGAAGTTTTTCAGCGCTCCAATACTTGCAGGGATGGATGATACTGATGTAGGATTCAGTTAGACACCAAAAGTGAGCGGTTGATGACATTATTCATGTTTTAAAGGTCACTTATTCAGCAGTCCAGTGCGCCGTGGGAAAGCTATTATATCAAAATCCACATAGCTTTGCAGGATAATAACAAGAGGCCACACATTTGTCAGCTAACCAGAAGTGCCATTTAAAGTATAAATTATTTTTAGAATGTTTCATATGAGATTTTACTGTGGTCCTTTGCTTACTTTGGTGCCATTTACACACAAGCCAATTGACTGTACAGGGGATGGTCTTGCGTGAGATAATTTTTGGGGTACACCAGAATATAAATACTCCCCAAAGTCCACGTCGGTGTCATATTATTTTGTAGTTTGTAAAATGTGTTGAGTTGTTTTCTTACCTTCCGATACCCCATCACAGTCCCAGTACATCAGAGGATCATTAGTTGCAAATGGACTGCAAAAGAACTTCTGCCAAATTACGTAGTAGTGATGTGTCTTAATTACAAAATGTAAAATTTTTATTGGTGCATCTCAAATATTTTATGAATTAGAATAAAAATTTCAGGATTGTGAGACAACTCTGGATTAATTTTTTAACAAAATATTAATGTAATTAGAGTAATTAAATACCTGCATTATGTTTTCTGTTTTTCAGTTGTGATACATCCGATGTAGTTTAATTATGTTGTAAATAATTGTTGTAGGAACCACACTCCAGTAGGATCTTAAGATTCTGTATGTAAAGGTATGCTGGATCCACTCCTGCAGGTGAAAAATACAAGATTTAAAGAGAAATATGGATGAAGTTGATGCTAGATCCCCTTCTGAATCAGAGGTAAAAGTTTTTGCTAATATTCAATAAATGGGAGATTTACTTCATTGATTTCAAGAAAAGTGGGCATGAGGGAGGATACCTCTTTGATAACTACTTTTGCCAAAAACATTCACACTTTGACCTGGCCTCGTAAATAATCAATCTGAAGTATACAAACTATTATATACCTACTATATGAACACACATAAGAATGACACAGTAGTTGTGGGAGTTACGTGTAGGCTTATTGTCTGCATACTTAGGTGTGTGTTAATGCCATATATGGTAAGCGTCAAATTCCCATGCAGATAAAATGAAATAAAATTTATTTTGACCAATCACAAACTAGCAATTCTAAAATTTAAATCAGTAGTTTTTATCGTACCTAACAAAAGGTACGATATTGTAGTCAGCTTGACGGGTGGGAGGCGGGTGGCGTCTCACTTTTCAGCTTGTCTACAGGTTTCCACCCAAACCATTTGAGGGATTCATCTGAAATTTTCAGGGATGTTTCTACATATCAACGTCAAGAACTGATTAGTTTTTGGGCATTCTGGGTAAATCTAAAGGTGGCCATTTTGGATTTTCCGTCCTAAAATCTTCACTTTCAAGACTTGTCTACAGGTTTCCAGCCAAACCATTTGAGGGATTCATCTGAAATTTTCAGGGATGTTTCTACATATCAACGTCAAGATCTGATTAGCTTTTGGGCATTCTGGGTAAATCTTAAGGTGGCCATTTTGGATTTTCCGTCCTAAAATCTTCACTTTCAAGACTTGTCTACAGGTTTCCAGCCAAATCATTTGAGGGATTCATCTGAAATTTTCAGGGATGTTTCTACATATCAACGTCAAGAACTGATTAGTTTTTGGGCATTCTGGGTAAATTTTAAGTGGGCCATTTTGGATTTTCCGTCCTAAAATCTTCACTTTCAAGACTTGTCTACAGGTTTTCAGCCAAACCATTTGAGGGATTCATCTGAAATTTTCAGGGATGTTTCTACATATCAACGTCAAGAACTGATTAGTTTTTGGGTATTCTGGGTAAATTTTAAGGTGGCCATTTTGGATTTTCCGTCCTAAAATCTTTACTTTCAAGACTTGTCTACAGGTATCCAGCCAAACCTTTTGAGGGATTCATCTGAAATTTTCAGGGATGTTTCAACATATCAACGTCAAGAATTGATTAGTTTTTGGGCATTCTGGTTAAATTTTAAGGTGGCCATTTTGGATTTTCTGTCCTAAAATCTTCACTTTCAAGACTTGTCTACAGATTTTCAGCTAAACCATTTGAGGGATTCATCTGAAATTTTCAGGGATGTTTCTACATATCAAAGTCAAGAACTGATTGGTTTTTGGGCATTCTGGGTAAATTTTAAGGTGGCCATTTTAGATTTTCCGTCCTAAAATCTTCACTTTCAAGACTTGTCTACAGGTTTCCAGCCAAACCGTTCAAATTTTTACATATGTTACACAGTGATAAGTTCTAAAGCTGATTAACTTTTCTGTGGCCATCTTGCTTTCTTGGTCAATAAGACCACAATGCTGTGTTTTAGGTACGATATTGTTCACGTCTGTGCCTTTTTTATGTTAAAATAACAAATTGATTTTATTCTTGCAATATTTTGATTTATTCTTTAAATCCATTGAAAAATCAGTTGCTTGAAAAAGATTTAAAGAATAAATCGAAATATTGCAAAACTAAATCAATTTGTTACTAAAATTTTAAGATGAATAAAATGCCAGAAATTACTTTTGGATGCCGTAAGGCGGAACATATTCTAAAGCATATTTCCTCTTGTCACAAAGATTCTAGAATTGATCATTTATAAAACCCAAAATTTGAAAATATGATAAAGCATGTTGTCAAGAACAATTTTGACCATAATTTATAATGACACTAGTGATCTATAAAATCATATTTATTTCGCAGTTTTTTGGCAAACATTTCCATATTTAGAATTATTCGAATGCCATTCCCCCTGTAAGTATTCATGCACGACCATAATCCAATGAAACGTATCATTCCTTCTATTATTCATCATATTTTTGTTTTGAATTTCAAATAGAGATCCATGACTGCTGGATATCGATTCAGAAAGCGCATTAGAAATGATGAGAGGCAGATGTACCTTGTGAACCTACATTTCTGAAATAAAGATAAGACCATTCACCAGTTCACAAATGTACCATTGTACTATTGTACAAAACTTCTTTTATATTACTGACTATCTCAGTATTGGTTAAAACCAACAAATCAGTTCGTTTACTTTCAAGCTGCCTGTACTATTGAATAATTTACATTGCCCGTATCCTGTATTGTTCAACTTCACTATTCTGTGACTTGGTTCTTCACTAATTTACCATCCAAACTGAGTGAATAACAATATTGACTCACCCTTACTCGTCACTTTCTAAGCTATGTATATTGCAGTCATTTTACTCAGCAGTGGCCTGGGTGAAAGTCAAAAATCTCGGCAAGCAAGATCAAGGTAGGGTAGTGTGATGTAGCATAAAATCTAAAAAGAAAATGCAGAGGGCAAACAATGCTCGTAAGGTGTGCCTAGATTACGCAAAATGAATCTTGAGTTGTGATATTTATTTTGGAACAAATACTTGGAGCCAACTACACTACATGCACTATAATAAGTTATCTTTTGCTTCTTGACTTTTTTAAAATTACTTAATTTAGACCACATCCTGTAGGGTGTTGTTAAGATAATAAATGGAGGATTGTGAATGTGGCATAATATCTCTGTCAAACTACGACAAATCTAATTTTGTAGTAACAACGCCAAAAAGGTGACTTATAATGATTTAAAAACTATATCAGGACACAAAAATGAGCCAGCTCAAAAATATTTACTATTTTGACTTAAGACTGAAGTAAATGCCCTACCTTATGACTATAGTAACAATGGATTTCCAAAACACCTGTCATTGTTTCAGCTTGATTTTCTTTTGTGATGTATTTATAAGAGCTTCGTGTTTTTTTGTTACTTAAACTGATAAGGGTTTCTTAGAATAAAATTTCACGTCATAAGGAAGTAAGTTATATAGAACTACATGTAGTCATGATAGTTAATTATTAACATTAGATGTTCAAAAATTGAAATGTCAGGAATAGTTTTTAACAGCTCACATGACCTCAGAGTTACACTCCCCTCCATAAGTTTGGCAACCTTAGCTTCCTCATTGAACTACGTGTTAAAGCCTGTTTACCTTTGAATTTTTTTATTTACTTAACCTGCAATGAAAATACTTATGCTATTGATGGAAATGAAATTTTACTTTATTTCCAATACCTCCAAATTTTCTCAATTTTTTCCATTTTGGATTTTCCGTCCTAAAATCTTGTCTGTCAAGGCTTGTCTACAGGTTTCCAGCCAAACCATTTGAGGGATTCATTTAAAATTCTCAGGGATGTTTCTACCTATGAAAGTTTAGAACTGATTAGTTTTTTGGCATTCTGGGTAAATATTAAGGCAGCCATTTTGGATTTTCCGTCCTAAAATCTTGTCTGTCAAGGATTGTCTACAGGTTTCCAGCCAAACTGTTTGAGGGATTTATTTGAAATTCTCAGGGATGTTTCTACCTATGAAAGTTTAGAACTGATTAGTTTTACGGCATTCTGGGTAGATGTTAAGGCAGCCATTTTTTATTTTCCGTCCTAAAATCCTGTCTGTCAAGGCTTGTCTACAGGTTTCCAGCCAAACCGTTTGAGGCATTCATTTGAAATTCTCAGGGATCTTTCTACCTATTAAAGTTTAGAACTGATTAGTTTTTCGGCATTCTTGGTAAATGTTAAGGCGGCCATTTTGGATTTTTCGTCCTAAAATCATGTCTGTGAAGGCTTGTTTTAAAAAATAAAAAAAGAATTTCCCATCGAGAGCAATGTTAAATTAAAATATTTTTTTGAAATAACTAAACGGTCACTCTTTCCAATTTTCACATATTTTGTAATACATCAGTATATCTTTTACCAGGATTTTTTTAGGAAAATCTGAATTGTAGAAAAAAGCTGACACACTGTGAAGTAATACCTTAAACGTGTCTCTTGAGTGTTGTTTACAGGTTTCATGGATTCATCCTAAAATTTTAGAGATCTTTCTATGGAAAGTTTAGAACTGATTAGTTTTTAGGCAGTCTGGGTAAATGTTAAGGTGGCCATTTTAAATTTTCCATCCTGAAAAGTGTATTCTGTTCAAGGATGCGATTCTGTTCACCCTTTGGCTTTGTTTATACACTATGTTGCAATCTTAGTAAATTTTTTTTTTAAAAGTGTATTGATGTTTTTTAGATGAAAACACAAGCGAAATGCATGAAAAAACTCCCCCAATCCATTCTAAAAACAACCTGTGGTCCTTTGAGGGGACATTGGTAACAAGAAAATCAATGGTAAATTAATGGTAAAATACTCCTTAAATATGAGCAACAGTGTATCTTTATGCAAATGGACCTTTTAAAACTTGTCAAGATTGAATACTTCATTTCACATTTGCAATTTACAATGGCAACAGGTAGTGTCTGCACAAATACTTACAAACTTAATCATAAAGCTTTTTCAAAGTTTGTGAGAGATGTATCTTTTAACACAAATACTAACACTTTATACACACTTAAAGAGTTGAAGCATAATTTTTCTTATATATTTGAAAAAGTTCAGGATGTCTCAACAGCATTAGGAAACATTAATCCGGCATTTAAATCAAAAGTTCTTGGACAGGACAATTTTTCTGCCGGAACAGAAATTATTAAACCTGATTACTTTAATTTATTTTCTGTACTTGAATCATGGGATGGAGTAACAGTGCTTTTAGAAAACAATGAAAGTGACCAGTATAGTCGTATTGTAGCGGGTAAGTTAAGCAGTTTGAAATGTTTAAAGTATTTGAAAGTCGAATAGGGAATTTCTTAAATTGTGATTAAAATCTCTCTCACATAAAACTTGTCTTATTGTATAAAAGTTTTTCACTTTGATCATATGGATATACTAAATAATTTAATTATACTGATATACTAAATATACCAATAATGTCAAGTGATACATATCTTGGGCTGGCATAATCCAAAAATTGTGGTTGATTTCATTTGCCAATGACTCACTGAGAGCAATTTTTACAGCCATACAGCCTCTTGAGGCAGCAATAAATTATTTGTTCTGATTCATTATAATATGTTAAGTCATATATGTTTATCAGATTAATCAATCAGATTATATATTGCTTATCCAATCAGATTAAGAAAGTCATAAGTTATAAATTGAAAGACAGGTCATTGCTTTCATTGTCAGTAATAATCTTATCATCTAAAAATGAACCCATTACAGATTTTGCAGTCTTGACACTACCTATTATTCGTGAATGTCTTTCAAGAACCAAAGAGGGGGACTTTGTTGTGTCCCTAATGAAAGAATTGAAAGCACACCTTATAAAGACACTTGAACAATTACATGCAAAGGGTGTTTTGACATTCATCGGTCAAACCAATCGTAACCATACAGCTATTTATCCTCTTGGGACAGTAAGCATTGATGACAGCACACGTAGACCAAACATACATTTAAGACTTGGTGCTCCTCTATGCACTGTTGATGTCGATCTGTGGTTCTGTGTGGAAGGAAGAACTACCAAATTAGGACATCATGTGATGATCCCAATTGATGAATCTGAAACCTTTAAACAAGATTTCTGGAAAGAAATTGTAGTAGAGCGCCCAAACGATGATAGATATATATTGACTGATCCCCATAAGCAATTATTATGCACTCTGAAATTGATATCACACATATATAACATGTTGGTGAACAAAGGTGAATTACCCCAGACAATACAAACTACATGTATTTCATCAACTTCTTATCTTAGCACAATTGCACTACATCATCAGAAAACATGTATCTCAGACAGTGTTGGGGAGTGTTTCACTAACATTGTAAACTCAGAAAGTGTAAAATTGTTGGATGAATGCAGTGCAAATTCTTTTCATGTCTATACACAAGACATGTTCTACCCTGGAAGGAGAATTTATAGTGATAAAGCTTATACGATAACAATGATTTGGTTTTTGCATAACATAAATAACACATTTGACACATTCTGTTCACTTTAACATGTGCACTTGTACATTTCTGTTTATCACAAACATACTCAAAACATAAATTGTCAAGATCTCATGTTGCTCAGGAACATCATAAATGTAATGTGAAATAACACTTGTAAATAGATTAGGAAGAATGATTAAAGTGTGTGTAACTGTAATCATGCCTTTTAAAAAAGGTAGTAAAATCAGCACTGTGCCAAGTTAGCATTCAAGTAGGAATGACACAATGAACAATTTTGTGTTTTCAACATATTAATGTTCTCCACACTTTTACATTCAAATTTCATATGCTGATGCCTAAAGACAAAGGAGCTTTGCTGCAGAAGACATTTTCAAGATGGCCGCTGATTTTCAAAATGGCGCCAATTTTACGTAAAAACTGTTATCTTTGATAATTCAAGTACCAGTGGATGGATTTGGTTTAAATTTGATATGCATATATACCTAGGGACACATGAGATATAGGCAAGGCGGACTTTAAAAGATGGCGGCTGAATTTCAAAGGGGTTGTCATTCTTCAAAACAGAATGTAATCTTTTATAATTGATGGATTTGGTTCAAATTTTATATGCTGATGCCTTACGACATGGGAGCTCCACTCAAGAAGACATTTTCAAGATGGCTTCCAAATTTCAACATGATTACTCAAATATCAGTGGACAGATTTGGTTCAAACTTTATATGCTGATGCCTAGAGACAAAAAAGCTCTGTTCGAGAAGAAATTTTCAAGATGACAGCTGAATTTCAAAATGGCTGCCATTTTTCATAAAAATGGAATCTGATAACTCAAATACTAGTGGATGGATTTGGTTCAAATTTCATATGACGGTGCCTAGAGATAAAGGAGCTCTGCTTGAAAAGAAATTTTCAAGATGTTTAACGACAAATGGCGGCCATTTTGATCAATAGCTGCCATTTGTAGTTAAACATGTAATCTTTGATAGCCCAAATACCAGTTGACGGATTTGGTTCAAATTTTGTATGCTTTGTGCCAAGGGATAAAGGAGCACTGCTCAAGAAGAAATTACCAAGATGGCACCTGAATTTCAAAATGACTGCCATTTTTTAGTAAAGACCATAATCTTTGATAACTCATATACCAGTTAATCGAATTGGTTCAAAATTTATATGCTCACACCTCGGTTCTAGGGAGCTGAATTTTTCAAGAGGGCCACTATTTAACTTTTTTTTTGTTTGGTGGGATTTTCTTCTCTGTGGAGTTGCTGTTTTCTAGTTTCGCAGCAATATCACATGTCTAAATCAATTGTTAAATAAAAATTCTGGAATCTGGAGTCTTGAATTGAACTTGTTCAATTTCACCAATCTAGTTATATATCTGATTGGTTGTTCAGGGCCTTTATAAGTAGAAAGGTTAGATAAAATGTTTTATTTGATATATGAAATATACAATGGCAGCAGGGGGTGTCCTTACCAATACTTTCAAATACAATGATAAAGCTTTCGCACAGTTTGTAAAAGATGTGTCATATAACGCTTGTACTAAACATCTCTACACACTTCAAGAGTTGAAGCATAATGCTTCTTATGTACTTGAAAAAATTCAGGATATCTGTACAGCATTAGGAGACTATAATCTGGTTTTTAGATCAAAAGTTCATGAACAGAACAATTTAATTGATGATGGGACAGAAATTATTCAGCCTGGTCATTTTAATTTCTTTTCTGTTCTTGAATTATTGGATGGAGTAACAGTGCTCTTTGAAAAAAATGAACAGAATCAGTACAGTCGTGTTGTAGCGGGTAAGTTAAACAATAACTTACTAATTTTTAATGTTTAATGTCCATATTTGACCAAAATTGTTCATATTTTTTTTGTTTTGTTAAACTATTTTGCAGGAAAAGCAGCAATCACTTGTACAGTTGGTACAAGTTGGTTCTAATATCCTTATAAGATTGTTGTTTGAATATTATCCTGACAAATTTTTTTATTTAGAACTTAATTTTTATGGAATCTGAAACTCATTAAGATTATTTTATACCATTTTTGGACCAATTACATGTGATCCCTGCATTTGCTTCAAAAATATTTTGAAAATTCATGCTTAACAATGAAGTTATTGCCAAATAAAAGCTATGGACATCTTTTGACCCACTCTTGCAAGATATGTATGCTAAAGAAGGAAATTCTGAAATTATAATAAACATTAGTCTCACATAAAACTTAAAAAGTTATTACTGTTGATTAACAAAATATCAAAGAATACATATCTTCTTGACATAAATCCATACAGTGTGGTTGATTTCTTTTGCCTATCTACATGTTGATGTGCTCACATGACAGCAACTTATTAATTGTCTGTCATATGGTCTCTTCTTCAGGCAACATAATTTATTTTAAACATTGGTTCATTGGATTGGTCCATTATTATCTTGTTTTATACTGGTTTACTGTTTATATCCAATCAGATTACAGATAGCTTTAAGTAATCAGTTAAATAATAAGTTGAAAAAATTTGTTTCTTTACATTCAATAATATCAATAATCTTCAGACAACCCTGTCACCTTTAAAATTAATTCATTACAGATGGCATGAGCCTGACACCACCTATTATTCGTGAATGTCTTTCAAGAACCAAAGAGGGGGACTTTGTTGTGTCAATGAAGCTAATGAAAGAATTGAAAGCACACCTTATAAAGACTCTTGAACAATTACATGCAAAGGGTGTTTTGACATTCATCGGTCAAACCAATCGTAACCATACAGCTATTTATCCTCTTGGGACAGTAAGCATTGATGACAGCACACATAGACCAAACATACATTTAAGACTTGGTGCTCCTCTATGCACTGTTGATATCGATCTGTGGTTCTGTGTGGAAGGAAGAACTACCAAATTAGGACATCATGTGATGATCCCAGTTGATGAATCTGAAACCTTTAAACAAGATCTCTGGAAAGAAATTGTAGTAGAGCGCCCAAACGATGATAGATATATATTGACTGATCCCCATAAGCAATTGTTATGTACTCTGAAATTGATATCATACATATATAACATGTTGGTGAACAAAGGTGAATTACCCCAGACAATACAAACTACATGTATTTCATCAACTTCTTATATCAGGACGATTGTACTATATCATCAGAAAACATGTATCTCAGACAGTGTTGGAGAGTGCTTCACTAACATTATAAACTCAGAAAGTGTAAAATTGTTCGATGAATGCAGTGCAAATACTTTTCATGTCTCTACACAAGACTGGTTCTACCCTGAAAGGAGAATTTATAGTGATAAAGCTTATACGATAACAATGATTTGGTTTTTGCATAACATAAATAACACATTTGACACAACTTGGTGGACCAGACTAACAAATCATATAATCCACAATGACACTAAGTCAGCAGTGCTTGTACTGACATCACTACCAGAACCCCTGTCTAGTCTGGTGCATGCCATATCACAAACAGTCCCTGGATCTTCACATCATTTTGAACGTGCCAAATCGCAAACAGTCCTTGGATCTTCACATCATTTTGAACGTGCCAAATTGCAAACAGTCTCAGAACATTCACATCATTGTGACTATGCCAAATCTCACAAGTTTGTAAACAGATTAAGATCATCAGGGGACGCTATCCCACTCAAAATTGAATTTCTGCAGAGGGTAAGCATGCATCAATATTGCAATAATTTTTTGCATTGTTTTACAGGTCCCACTATTACGGTGTTTGGACATATTGTCAGTCCACGTGCACAAGTCCTAATAGACCACCTGTCTGTTCACTTTAACATGTGCACCTGTACATTCCTGTTTATCACAAACATACTCATAAAACATAAATGTTGTCAAGATCTTATGTTGCTCAGAAACATCATGATTGTAATTTAAAATAACACTTGTAAATAGATGAGGAAGAATGACTTGTTTTAAGGTGTGTGTAACTGTCGCCTCTCCATGACAAATGCTTTGGTATCTTAGTTCATTATTAGGATAGAAATCAATTTAATCATAAACATTTCTTCTAATTACTTATCTTTTTTGCTTAAATTCTAAGAAATATAAAAATGCCAAGGTTCTCAAATCAACACCAATCAAAGAGCTCAATATCAAACATAAATTCAATGTCATATGCTAATAACCATATTTAAATCTGTGTCAGGTCACTGTCGAGAATCTTGAAGATCAGTGATGCATAATTTAAACAAGGCATTTTATAGTATAAGAACACTGTATATTTTTAAGGGATAAAATAATAATATTAAGTTATGAGTGTTGTGTTGTGGTAAACTTTACATATCAGTCATTTTTGAAAACTGTCTTTTCTATTAAAGGGTGCAATATTGTACACTCCGTGTTTGCATGCTAAAGAGCCTTAAATTTTAAGGTTCTTTAGCATTTCGGCTAAAGAGTCTTAAATGTTAAGGCTCTTTAGCATTTTGGCTAAAGAGCCTTAAAATTTAAGGTTCTTCAGACACTTCGAATTTGATTGGGGTATATATAATATAATATAACTTAACAAATACTGTTAAGACTGACTTCATTTTTTCCAAAATCATCTTCAAATTTTCAGAAGTTCAAATCTGACTTTAGATTTAAGATTTGACCTTCAATGACCCTTTCAAAGTCAAAAAAAGGTTTATGATTGGCTGGTTGCGTCTGTAACAAATTCCTACAACTTCCAATAACTGTCTAATACTGTCTAGACTGACTACATTTTTTTCTTAAAATCATCTATAATTTTTCAGAAGTTAAAGCTGATTTATGATTTAAGATTTGACCTTCAATGACCTTTACAAGGTTGAAAAGGTTAAAAAAGTCAAAAAGGTATTTTTTCAACTTATTTCAAATGGATTAAATATTTGTTTCACAAATCTATAGAATTGAGATTTGACCTTCAATGACCTCCTAAGGGGAAAAAGGTCTGAATTTTAAAGGTATTTTAAAGGTTTAAGGTGTTTCCCAACTTTTTTGACCATTTTTTAAAAGTTATCTACAACTTCTCAGAATGACCTCCTAAGGGGAAAAAGGTCTGAATTTTAAAGGTATTTTAAAGGTTAAAGGTATTTTCCAACTTTTTTGACCATTTTTTTAAAAATCATCTACAACTTCTCAGAAATTCAAATATGACATTAGATTTGAGATTTGACCTCTGCATGAAAAATGTTAAAAGGTCATTTCTCATTTTGCTTCAAATTGATTTAATATTTTCTTCAAAATCATCTACGAGTTCTCCGAAGTTCAAATTTATTAAATGTTTTTTCAATCATCTACGAGTTCTCAGAAATTCAAATCTGACTTTAGATTTGAGATTTGGACTTCAATGAACTTCTCAAGCTAAAAAAGGTCAAAAAGGTCTCTAGATTAAAAAGGTCAAAGGGCCTTTTTTCAACTTGCTTCAAATAGATTAAATTTTTTTCAAAGTCATCTACGAGTTCCCAGAAGTTCAAGTCTGACTATAGATTTGAGATTTAACCTTCAATGACCTTCTCAGGGTCAAAAAAGGTCAGAAATGTAATTTTCAACTTGCTTCAAATTGACCAAAGTTTTTTTTCTCAGAAATTCAAATCTGACTTTAGATTTGAGATTGGATCCTCAATGACCTTTTCAAGTTAAAAAAGGTCTTTAGATTAAAAAAGGTCAAAAGGTATTTTTTCAACTTGCTTCAAATTGATTAAATGTTTCTTCAAAATCATCTATGAGGTTTCAGAAGTTCAAATTCAACTATAGATTTAAGATTTGACCATCAATGACCTTCTCATGGTCAAAAATTATTTTTCAACTTGCTTGAAATTGACTTAATTTTTTTCAAAATCATTTACAAGTTCTCAGAAATTCAAATCTGACTTTATATTTGAAATTTGACATGATAAAAAAGGTCTTAAAGGTCTTGAGTTTATAAAAGGCCAAAAGGTATTTTTCAGCTTGCTTCAAATTGATTAAATTTTTTAGTTGGTGGTGACAGCTTGTCAATGCCTTGTTGACCTTGTCTGGGTGTAATCGTCATTTATTCATAAATTGAATGATCAAATGATGTTGAAGTGATGTCATGATGGTGTTTGAACTTTAAAAAAGAGGTAATGGCAATTAGAGGGCATCTATATTAGTCAACTCAATTGTTTCTATGCACTTCAATTTGTACCATGAGCTGATCACAAGTCTATCACATGATTCTGTGTATTGGTGTATTATAAACCAGCAATATATTTGAACTTTTATCATCAATTACCAAAAATAGCCAGAAATAACCAGAAACTAAACAAAGTACTTACCAAACATGTGTGCAAGTTGGTAAGTGCTTTGTATTCAAAGGGCTTGCTGTTTGTACATGAGTAGACCATGGCATAATATTGACTGTTGAACCAGAAAGCAATTATTATGATGGAATTGTAATATATATCCTATATATCATCGTGGTCCTGGAAATGAATATTTACTTGCAAAATGTTCTGGGTTTATATGAAAATTATCATGCAAAATTGAATTAACTGTTGACCAATAATCTTTTCTCTGCAATTTACGATATATTTAGAGTACATGTGAATGTTTTCAAAAGTATCATTGTATTACCATTGTAAATTTACCCCTGCAATTGTTACAAAACTGTTCTAAACTTAACAATGCAGAAATTGATATACATGTAGCTTACACCCCTGTATAAACTAGGTGATACATCACAATTTTAAGACACTTTAAAATGAAATAAATCTGCCAATTGCTGATAAGAAGTAATTTATAAAAGAATATAAATACAGAAATATATTTATGGCATCTTCACCAAGGTGAAAAAACGGGTTGGGTCAATGTGTATGTCAATAATCTGCAAAAGGCTAATAAGCCCATTTAAAGATTCTCGCAATCTTTATCCAATCAGCGTTTGCGAGTGTGTCGGCTCACGTATAAAAGGCGAAATCCAACTCAAATCCATGCAGGGGTGTATGAAGTACTCGAATAGGAAAGAGCTCGTGAAATCTGAATTTATATGCACATGGTCAATGTTTACACATGTTTGGAGTTATTGAAGAAAATGTGATATGGGTGTGGTTCCGAATTTGAAGTCATTGCTGGAAAATATGATTTTAATACGTGAAATTATATCTATAAATACAGCACTAAAAATAACAGTACACATGAAGTACATGTATGATTGTGTCCAGAAATGTTTGAAACCCTTACAGAAAATTCTGTCTGCATTTTGTCACCATTGCTCTTTCTTCCCGCATTCTAGTGCTGTTTGAATGAATATATTAATTAATGTATTTCTAACTAAAATATATCACATTTTTTTATAAACCACAAACATTTAGATCATAAAAAAATATTCAATACTTGAGTGAGCACGATATGCAAGGGTTACTAAGTTGACACAGTAAATGACCACTGATATTGTGTTAGCAAATATGTATTAGCAGAATACGCTGTGTGCATGGACTAACACCCCTCACTTTCATAGTGAAGTGACTAATTGGTTTATGTTTACGTTTTAATGTGTTTTGGGTTCCTTGTTACAGCAAGGGGGGCCAGTAAAGTAGACTAACATGTTTGCATGGCAAATTTTGATCGAATATGTGAGACACTTTAAGCAGATAATATATTAAACAGTGATATAATTATCCCATCGAACACTCCTCCCTCTGTACAGCCGTACGTACTTACGTCTGTCCGGGCAATAACTCAAATACTGTTGGCCCGATTTTGTTCATATTTTGTACACATATATCCTGTGGAAGTAGAAGTTTTGCTCCATAGCCGATTGTCAAAATGGCGGCTCATTTAAAAATGGCGGCCATTTTAGTGCCGATTTTACAGTAATTTAGGTGCAATACGTAAAACTATAATAGCAATATGTTTTAAATGTAAAAAAATTATGTAGGACATTAATAAAGCTAGAAATGTAGATATTAAAAAAGCACATTGCAGCAATCTTGAAAAATGGTGGCCTTTACTCGTTATTTTATGATTTTTGCTGTAACTCAAAAAGTAGTGGATTGATTTTGTTCATATTTGGTATGTGAATACTATAAGCATGGCACACTGTCTAATGACACTTTTGGTTGAAGGCGGCCAATTTTCAAAATGGTGGACATTTTGAAAAATGGCTGCCATTTTAACTTATTTTACTACAACTTGAAAAGTAGTGGAGTAGTGAAAAGTAGTTTTGTTCATATTTGGTATGTGAATACTATAAGCATGGCACACTGTCTAATGGGAAACGAATAGATGGCATTATAAAAACAAAAATATAGTCCAATTATTGTAAGTACATAAGCATCACCAGTGGTTGGATTTTGGTAAGTACATGAATGAAAAAGTGTATGTATGGGCCAACTCTGAGACATGATTTGATGTGATTAAGGTGCATTTTCTTTAAAAAATTTGACCTTATTGACCTGCCTCCATCTGTCAAAATCAGAATGACATTTTTTGACATTTTCTATAGATGGCGTCTTCAACAGGTGAGATTTTTTGATTTTCGTGGGGAGTTTTGATTCAAACCTTTTTGACTTACAGAGGACATACTGGGGTATGATGGAATGACAGCAAAACATGTCCACAAATCTTAGTTTTCTCTGGAAGACAGATCGTTTGTATGGGAATATGCATGTTATAACTATTAGTTGGGTTAACCCATGACACTTTTGGTAGAAGGCGGCCATTTTTCAAAATGGCCTCCATTTTAACGTATTTCACTGCACTATAACTCGGTAAGTAGTAGAGCGATTTTGTTCATATTTGGTATGTGAATGTTATAAGCATGGCACACTGTCTAATGACACTTTTGGTAGAAGGTGGCCATTTTGAAAAATGGCCGCCATTTTAACATATTTTACTATAACTCGAAAAGTAGGGGAGTGATTTTGTTCATATTTGGTACGTTAATACTATAAGCATGGCACACTGTCTAATGATACTTTTGGTAGAAGCTGGCCATTTTGAAAAATGGCTGCCATTTTTGCGATATACTTTGTTTGTAAAAATGCCAGTCATGGCTGTTCGATGGGATTCGCTACGCTTCGGCGTTGCCGTTGTTCTGGTTTGAATAGAATATGATTTAAAAACTTTAAATTTTAAAAATAGATCTATGGTTGGGTTTCAACCCATTTAAAAATTAAGCAGATAAAGATACAGCTGGCTACACGGCGTTGACTTCGCTGTGTAGCCATGCTATATAGCTGTTATGTTGGCCGCATGATCGTGATCATTATCGTAAATTTTGTTGTGAGGCGTTCCACTTTTTATCATTATGATTCCAACATCATCATCATCAGGATTCCAGGACAACTGCTCATTGGATTTTCTTCAAATTCATTCACATGATAGAGGGTACCAAATTCTAGAGATGAATAACGTTGGGATGCTCATTTTTTTCTGTTGAACCAATCAGAATTGTTGTGTCTTAGTCTATATCTTGCTTCAATTATTATTTAATTGTAATCACCATTTATTTACTGATGTGACCAATTAATATAATTTCATCTACAGGATTAGAATATCATTCAGTAATTAAATGTTTTATTGAGTTAAAAATAAATATAAAATGGTGGAGCAAATGCATCAAAATATTAACTTTGCATACCTGTTAATGTAATGTGATTACGATGAGAGATGTTTTCATCGACTTCTATTTTGATCTCTGTTGGTTGTTCACTGTGCTCTATATAAACAGCTTAATAAATATACAATTACTTATCAGCCAAAGTCACGTTTCTCTTTTTAGCCTCCAATTTTATTAACACTTGTGCAATGTATTGAATTCCAATTTGCTACTTTGATTAGCATTCAAACATGACCGTGCTCTATTCGAATTTCTCAACCAATCAGAATGCAGCATAGCCAATATAGAACGTTCTCTAATTCTCCATAGATGCACGACCATGCTCTATTCAATCTGCAATTTGCATTGTTTTGAGTGACGTCACATCTCAGCTGCACATCTGGGGCTCTGTCCGGGGATAGCTGTTCTTTTTTACTCCTTATTTATTTTTATTTTATCAACACCCCATGTTTGCATACTCCGTATAAAATCTAAAACGGGGAGTAAAATAGAACAGCCCAAACAAATTCTAAAATTTTTCAGGCCGACTTCAGAATCTTGACAGCATGCGTATTCTTCCTTCATGCCCGTTCCACAGACACGGCTTTTACTAATTTTTATGTTTGAATCGGAATAAATAATGATAGGCCATTCAATATGGTGAAATTCAGCACTCGTTGGACAGAATGTTAGTACAAATGCACTCACCTTCGGTTCGTGCTTTGTACAACATTCTGTCCAACTCGTGCTGAATTTCACCATATTGAATGGGCTATCATTATTTATTCCTTAAATATAATTAAACTGCGAAATAAAGAATTTGTCATTACAAAAAAAAGTTTTATGACTAAGTTCCATTTTGTCACCTTCGGTTCGTGCTTTGTACAACATTCTGTCCAACTCGTGCTGAATTTCACCATATTGAATGGGCTATCATTATTTATTCCTTAAATATAATTAAACTGCGAAATAAAGAATTTGTCATTACAAAAAAAAGTTTTATGACTAAGTTCCATTTTGTCATAAGAATACCTATGAAGTTGATTCCTCAATTGACTTTGGATACTTGTCAGACTTTACCTCATAGATAATGTCAAGAACCACACATGTGACAGCTAATAGCGTGGGAAGAAGGTGCACTTATGTTTAATGCAACCAGTTGTGAGACATTTTGAGGACAAACCAACAAAATGTGTTTTTCATGGAAAAGAGAAGTTACATATGAACCTAGAATCAGATATATAAGAAGGTGCTAGAATTGCTCACAATATTGATGATTTTCTAAGCATTATGCATTCACATTGATCATTTGAGGTAAATTGTTCAAAACTCTGTATTTCTTGAATGAGCTATCTAGAAAAAGTATCTATGGAGGTTTACATGTTTAATTATGTTTAACTTCATTTTAATATTTCGTATATTTGCAGCACTTGGAGAGCCTTACCGTTGAAGCTAATCAGAATGGAACACCGTGTGATTTTCCAGGTTGTCACCAACAGGTATAAGATATTACATATTGCATGGGTGAGGTGTTGTACTCACCCAATTCTCTGTCCTTTAGTCTGACAGTCCTTTGATTCTAGAGCTGATGAGGTTTTGGGCATGTTGGCCATCTTATGGTGGACATTTTGCATGTTTTAGGAAGACAGTGAATGTAGTTTTTACTGTGCAATATGGTGAAAAGTGATCATATATGGCTTAACTTCCACTGAAGGTTCTACTCCATTGAGTCACCATGGCTCATTAATACACAGTATTTTATTTCCATAGAGTCCTTATAGTTTTGTCCTAGTTATGTTTTTTTCCAAGATTTGCTGGAATGTACCATGTCTGTTTGATGTGTTTGCATAAAGTCATACTTCCAAAAATCCTTAGAAATTTATAATTTACTATAAATTTGGGCCATCATGGGGTTCTGAATTCACTATGAGATGATTAATAGTGAGATATATTAGATGTTTGTTTTTAATTGAATTGAATTCAAGACACAAAGACATGAAGTCATAATTTGAGTTTAGTTGACAAAATAGTAGAGAGGTTAAGCAACACGTCCAAATGCAAACCATGAACCTGAACGCGTAAGTTCACGCTCAAGTACATTTTCTGGTAAGCTACATGTCTGGAACCATATCAGTGGACGTGGAGGTATATTTATATGGTGACTGTGTCTAAGGGTTATGGCTCTATGGTGTCAGGGGCGGATCCAGGATTTTGTGTTAGGGGGGCGTGTGATAATAACTGTGCAAAGAGTCAAATTTTGTAAAAAGCGATGAGGCAAAACACAAATTTTCCGACTTTTTAGGGGGGGGGGCCCACGCCCCTGTCTAGATCCACTGGTGGGTGTAATGGTTAGCACTTAGGACTCGTGTCTGTTAGGCCTTGGATACTTTTTCGTTTTTTATTTTTGCTTTATTCCATATTCAACCACAATTCAGTTACTTGAGTATCACTTTTTGCTCATATCAAGGGTGGACGTAAACAAAGAAAATGCATTGTTCGCAAATCAAATGTAGTGATAAGGCAATAGTAGGCCCTGGTTGTCATTTCATTTCGTTTAGTTTACATATTGTACTAAGCCCGGGTATCAAATTAGCCCTGCCTATTTATATTGTGCGGAATGAAACAAAACGATCACATTTGAAGTTGTCATTTACCCATTAAATGTATTCTTATTTCCAATTAAGGATTGGGGTTTACCAATATAACAAGCAAGATTATCTGTATCAAATATGGGCCCCTGGGCCATCCTAGAACAAAGCTAAAATCAATCACGTAATGAGCGACGTGTAATCACTCATCTACACGTAAAAACCTGTAACTTTCATGCTTACCTGTAAAAAGTAGACTAATCTGACTTCATTTTCCTGTGCGCGAATAGAAGTTCACATTCATGCTCTGTTGAATACGCGTCTGTAAATTGCACCAATATGATAATCTCATGTAAAAACCTGTAAACTTCACGCTGGCCCACAGGAAATAAACAAATCTGACGTCATTTATCTGTGTGCGCATTGAAGTTCACGTTCAAGTTTTGTTATATACGTGTAGCTTAACCTCTCTAGTGTTTAATGATATTGTATCTATGCTACAGTGTGACCGGAAAAAGGAGACCATTGAAGTAGGCATATATCTTCTAAACTAGACAAGTGACATGAATGAAATTTTGCACAAATTAGGACTCTTCTATGGAAATTCGTCCCTGCAAGTCTCAATACAACCAGTCAACTGGTTTAGGAGCTGTCATCATTTACATTACATGCTACAATTTTCCACAATCAAGAGCACGGCAGAAATGGATTCATATGGCAGGATACCCTTATTTCTTCTTGTGGGGCTTTTTGAAAGACAATGTGTATCAAAACAATCCCCAGACAATTGCTGTCCTAAAGAAAGCAGTCACTGCTAAATGTTATTCCATTAAAAGGGCTGAATATGAATCCATTTTTGCCTTGCTCTCGATTGTGGCAAATTGGAGCGTGTAATATCAATGATAACAGCTCCTAAACCAGTTGACTGGTTGTATTGAAACTTTCAAGGACGAATTTCCATAGAACAGTCCTAATTTGTGTAAAATTTCATTGATGTCACTTGTCTAGTTGAGGAGATATTACCTACTTCAATGGTCTCCTTTTTCCGGTCACCCTGTATTATGTTTTGGTCAACATTATTTTATTGATCTATTTCCTTGAAATCACTGAAATGTCTCTTATTTTCCAGCTCAATGACGCAGAAGATGGCATTAGACACAAAACAGAGAGTTCTGCACAGCATGTATCTCTACTGCTCCACATAACCAAAGACTCTTGTAAGACTTGTACATTGCTCAATGATGACAAGAGAGCAGAGTTGGCTAATATTGAAAACAATTTCCTTCAAGGATTAGACAGAATTGAAAGGCAGATTGGTATTGCTAATGCAAGCTCAGACTTTTCAGAATCTCACCACAAAACTGTAGCCATTGAAAACTCTTTTGAAATAACAAATGACAAAGTTGATATGTTTAACTCTGTCATGCAGGTGTTTCAGGATGAGTCAAAATGGGTCAAAGATAGACTGGCAAACTTAGAGAGTGGAATTCAAAAGCATTTCTTTCAGGTGCTAAAGAATCTCTTCGTGCAACATCAACGTACCGACAGGTTCATCAGACATCAAGAGGAGTCTATTAAGAAACTTGATGAGGAAATGGAGGATCACACTCTTACAGTACACAATGGCGTCATGATATTCCCAATTGATAACTTCCAGGCTCGGTTTGAAGCTGCTAAAATGAGGAATCCAGCAAGTGTTACATCTCCTGCTTTTTACTCCAGACGTGGTGGCTACAAGGTCAAAGTGAGAGTCTACCTCAATGGGGATGGCCTCGGCTTAGGTACTCACGTTAGCATTTACATCATGATGTGTAAGAGCAAGTTCGATGCACTCCTTCCCTGGCCATTCAACCAAAAACTCACTCTTGGTATAATGAACCAGATGGATCCAAAGAAGGACTACATGGATGCCTTCAGGCCAAACAAAGCGCTCAACACATGGGGGAAACCTGTTGCAGAGACAAACACACCCACAGGAATTCCAAAGTTTCTCGGTCTCGAGACGGTGCTTGACCCAAGCCAAGGTTACGTGGTGGATGACGTGATGTATGTGAAAGTTGTTCTCGAGCAGGAACCAAAGACCCCACTGTCTGCATTCCTGGGGTATAAAGAAATAGAAGAGCAATGATTGCACAAAGTTCACATGATCATTTCAGCAGAAATACAGAGAAAGAATCTCTGTATCAACTGAAGATATGTTTTTGTGTTCCACACTCTCGTATTAAAACAATTATATCTCAATGTTATATTGTTGTAATTGTTGTAATTGTTGTAATGGGCTTGTATGCTTTAAATATACACACATGGTGTACACAACATGATTTGAAGTATTTTTTGTACTTTTATCAGATTGCCTCAATTATTCCAAATAATGAGGCAAATCAGAAAGCTCTAATACAATATAGAAATCACAAACCTCTGTAAACCATATAAACGACAACAGCCAGACATTGAGGCCATTATGCTATCATGCTTAACGTGCTTATCGTTAGGTGGTGGTGAGGTAGTACTTAAAGTCATAGCAACGCAATCAACACAATAACATTTCAGTGCACTTCAAAGTGTTTTGGTCTCTAGGTTTAACTTAGGCCTAGTTGTTCAAACAATCCACTTCATCTAATGAAGAGGAAATTTACAACCAGTCATTATCATTTTATTTCAAAAACAAAACATTTCCATTTTTTGACATTCACAGTTCCTCCTGGACTAGGATATATGTAGAAGTATGAATGAGGATACTGATTGGGGATTTCCTTCTTGTATTTTATTAAACAGCACTTGAAAATCATCACTTGAAATCGCTTGAAAACTTTTTACAACTTTTTCATGTCACCATCTAAAAGTGTCACCTCATTGTTATGGTCACCAGCTTTTTGCTGTGTCTGGGAGCCCAGTTGGGAGGTTATAATTTAGCCCACAAACATGTGTGAGAAGATGACGTTTAGTCAAGTAGAGGGAGGATCACATAGTCTAGTAGCTAGACGGTGCCACATTTTCCCTATGGCATTATATTTTTTAAACGTTTATACATGTATTCTAGACAATTAAAGTTACCATGTTTACATGTACTTTGGTGCCGAACGAAGTCGAACGAATGCAAAGGGTATGAATCATTGATAACCAACGCTTTTTAATAATATAAAAGTTGTTTTAAATAGGTTTAATTTATGCCAATAATTTCTTAAATTATTTAATGCTGACACCTTCCTCAATCCCTAGAATTTTCTCTTTGAGGAATTTCCCATAGTGATCCAATGGTATAGTTCCAAGCAGATTTTGAGATAACAGGAAAGTAAATCTTTAAAACACACTAATTGGGTTGTCATATAAACCAAAACAACCCAATAAGGTGTGTATTAAAGATCTCAAAATCTGCTTGGAACTATACCATTGGATTACTATGAGAAATTCCTCAAGGTGTCCGCATGAAACCTATTTAAGACAGCTTTTTATTATTCAAAAGCGTTGATTATCAACGATTCCAAGCCCTCTGAAGTTTGATAAATGAAAATACCCGGGTGGTAAATTGTTAATACACAGATAATCCTCGAAAATTAGAAATATTTTTTGGGGGATTATATGGTGCAATCTTATAGTCAATACAAAGTTTTAAAGTGTACTGATTTTATTTTAGATGAAAAACATTAGCAAAATGCACGAAAAAACTGCCCCGATTTATTCTACAAACAACTCGCGACCCTCTTTGATAAAATTCCGAACTATGGTAATACAGGGTCAATAAACGTCTGACTTACAGGGTTCCAAAAAATCGGACCGAAAGGAGTTGTCATAACTTTTAGAAAACCTAACCGATCTTGTTCATTCTTTCGGAACTGGAAAGTCTGCATGCTAAGGCTATCTAGGTCGAGAGATCAATAGGGTTTGGAATATGGAGGAAAAGGTATTTGCAATATCAGTCATATGTTCGTATGCGTAAGGAATTTAGTCCAAGAGTGCAAATAGAGAGCCATTGTGGACGCAAAAATCTGCTCGGACAGAACTGAACATTAACTCGAAAAATCCGTTGCACAAAGTTTCAAGAATGTCTTTATGCAGACGGGGTCAACTCACTAAGTTCTACAGAGCTCTAGATGGTAAGGCAAGGTCGCCAAAGAGACCAGCAGTGATTTCAACAAGACACACTTCTGCAATCAAATCATTAACCTAGACAAACAGAAAGCCTGGAATCGAATGGGCCTCTCATAGCCCAGACATGAACCTCCAGATTTCATCTGTGTTTTTTAAAGATACTGGAGACTCTAAGCTTGAATGTTTTTCGCAACGTAACCGTGAACGCCAAGTCCATGAATCGATACAAATATGTTACGAAACGAGCTTTAGTTTAAAATATTTATCATAGAATACCACCAGCTAGTAAATACATGGTTTCGATTTTATATGCTAGCTTAAAGTCTCCAATGTCTACCAGGATAACCCAACAAGGACTATTGCTGATGTAAAAAGGAAGAATGGATCGGATAGCATTGAAAGAAGTAATGAAATCATGTGCTTGACCATTTCTCCCGTCAAATTGAATCAATGTCATACGTGCGAAATATGAAGCACCAAAGTTTAAGTAATGTCAAATTAGGTGACTCTTTAGCGGTCATTTGGGCACCAAATTGATTTAAAGATGTGCAAAATGTGGTGGAGCTGCCCTATCCTGCCTAGAAATCCCAGTGTGATTCGAGTTTTAAACACTTGATCATATAAACAAAACAACATGATGTAACTATGTTTTTGAAAGTGCCCTGAATGATATTTTTAGTTTAAGTATCGTTCAATTCACACGAAGATGAAATACCTGTATGCTTGTCTGGGGTTTTCTGTAAAGATATTTGTCATTGGAAACCATATACCAACTTTACCGACAAATATCTTCCTCAGTTAAAATAGATATCGTATATGTTTCGCCTACGTTATCTTCATAACAGTATAAGGTACATGTAGTGCCAAATACACCAGCACTTGAAGTTGTAAGCAACAATTGCCTGTTTTAGGTTGATATCAATCAAAATATAGCCACTGACGGCTAGGCATTAGTAAGTTTCTGATTTAAGCCTGAGACACGAGTAGAATTACTTTTTGGAAGAAGAAGTAAACGAAAGAGAAAGCAAAGCCTTACTTCATTGCATTCCTGCTCACCTGATAAACGACTGAGAAATGTTTCGTCTTAAGCCCGGTATACACCAATGGGGCAAGTTGGGACCTCCATAGACTTAATATTGCGTGGGACTTCTTGGGATTTTGCCCCATCGAGTCCGCGAGACTCCATGGGACTCCGGCCGTCGGATTTTGCCTAATCGAGTCCCATCAGGTCCACGTGGTTGGATTCGATGGGGCAAGATGGAGCAAAATCCCACGGAGTCCCATGCATCTTGCCCCATCGAGAATGAACATGTTCATTCTTTCCACGGGACATCGTGGGATTTTCGATCATATGACTTGTGTGATGCCCAACATACACCAATGGGGCACGGTGGGATTCAGTGATGGGACTTGGGACTCCATGGGGCACGATTGGGCAAAGTCATCAATGTCCCATGGGACTTCGTGGGATTCGATGGGACTCGATGGGGCAAGTGGGATTTTGCCCCATTGATGATACCGGGCTTTAGTTATAACTGTTGCTTGATTTAATTGCACGTTGATGACGATGCGCCTTTTAAATAGATCTCATATCTTTCAAGCGTATCGGTTCAAAAATCTGAGAATACTTAACATACTTTACCATACATTATACGTCTATTCATCAAGCAGTTCAATGGTAAACTTTCTCTTGAAGAAATAAATCCGTCTAGATTTGTAGATTTTTAGCAGAAATCGCCGCATCCCCCTCCGTTCATTTTGTCCGATTACCAGGCGTGATTTTGTGAGGGCGGATGGATACTGAACTCTGCCTCCTAAACATGTTCAGGATGACTTTAAACATAGTCCTCCCTATACAAATGCATCCAAACGTGAAAACGACTTTTTATGACTTTTTATCCCTTGTAATTGTAGCTTATTCTCATTTTGTATCAGATGCTGGCACAGTTTTGCCGGAAGTTTGCAAGAAGTAACTTTTGGCAATGCAGTATGTTAGAGTAACCTAGTAGGTGTAAGAAAATATAAGGTGATGGCCTTTAAAGTGGTAAAAACAATTTTCACGGCCGAATTGGACTTCAATTCCTGCGATTTCAGGGGGTACTATAAGACTATTTCATAACATAAAGGATATAGTTGCTATTGTTCTGCTTTCTACAGCACACATTACTAGTCCAAAGATGAATAATATCCTAAATATCCTTATAGGCCGATATCTGTATTAGTCTCAGAAATATTGCAATTAATAGGAAAAAAATACGCAATTTTAGTCATTTTTAAGTCTCACGTATCTTATATTTGTAGCTTCCAGCAAAAGATGGCAGCTTAAATAGCTCAAAATTGTTTTCTAAAAACTAATTCAAGCTTTGTTTGATATTGTAATACAATTATAATGATGATAATGTACTATTTATGATTTTTAATATGACTTTATAGTACCCTACCCCTGGAAAGTGGGCGTGGTCAATGTTATCATTTTGCAGCATACAATTAAAAACTTGTATTGATAAAAAGCAAATCAATGCATATAAAACATCTTCACTTGTTACTTGACAATGTAATTCATTTATTATTAAAATATAGGACTCTACATATTTTATATATACGATTTCAATTTTGTACAATGTATCATATTGAAATCTAATAGGCTGTTTCAATTTACAAACTTTTTCTCGAATCACCCTTACCTTTTGACAAAATGATCTACTATATGACCAATAGCCACAAAAAATAGCAGAACTGATCAACGTTTAACCCCCCCCCCTACCCCTATGTTTGTTTTGTATGGGATCCGCCACAATGCAACAAGTCCATTTTAAGTGCTTACTATCACATGGAATATAAGTCACAATGTTTCCACAATATCTGGGCAATGAGATAGTGCCATTAAGAATATGTATGCCCAGATTCAAGATCATGGTGTAAATGCTTGCCGATCTATCGGCTTTCAAAAATGAGGAAAGCTGTCTTGAGTGCCGTTTCAACTAATTTTGAATTAAAACTGCTACTTATAAATTTTTTTCTCAACAACTGTGATTTGGTTAGAGTCCGAACACAGGATATCAAGACATAGTGCTACCAAATTCTGGTATTGAAAATTTCAGAGCTCTAGATCAAGTATTCATATCTGCATGGACTCTTAAATAGACCCAAAAGACACAAAATGCAGTCAGATATCACGAAAAAATGTGATAAAATGCACTATTCAGAACAATTTATCTCTTAAATTTTACTTTTATTTACCATAATTTCTGATTCTGCCTCTAGTTAGTAATACCAATAATACATATGAGTAGATTTAAGGTCATAGTAAGTGTAATTACAGATTTATTAGCATCTAAAAATGGGAGAAGCAGTGTAGCAAGTGCAATTTTCACCTATACATAATATTCGTCTGATCAAAGCCAAAAGGTACCAAGTGCCTTTTCAAACTTTTGAGAAAATCATGAAATAAGGTTTGAGACAACACAAAAAATCAACAAGTCAATTTAACACTTCGTCATCTTCAATAACTTTCAGTTGAATATATTTTATATAATATGTTAGGTTAACAACTCTAAAATGTCGCATTAAGCTGAGAAAAATGAGGTTTTGTACTTGGTACCTTCTGGCTCTCGAATAATGCAGATCATCAACAGGGTCAGAAGGTACCAAGTGATATTTGTGGAATTGTTTTTTGTAAGTTATAT